TTTCCAACTCAACACTGATTATAGTATTTATTTTTCCAAGCCTGTTGGAAGCCAATTAGGGAAGGAAATCCAACACCCTAGGGCTAGAAAACTAATGAAAATGAAGCTGTACTAACGTTAGCTGACCCATAGGCCTGGCTGAGAGCGCAGAATCAAAAACAACCCAAAGGGCATTGCAGCAGGGGGCTGTGCCTCACAGCCAGGCAGGGAAAAGAAGCCTATGTATGAGAGGATGTCTGGCAATCAGAACACTCACCTCATACATTTGCTTAGAATTTAGGATGACAATGGGGAAAAGAGGGTTATTTTTAGAGGGTGAGAAGTTCAAGGGCATGTGAGGTTTTGGAAGGACAAGACTAAGTCTTACCTTGTAGCTGACCTCTCACCTTAGCCCCTCAAATATGACACTTAAGGTTGACATTCACCCTTCATCTTTGCCATTTCTGCCTGTGGTCACAAACAGTCTCTGAAATTGGCCATAGGCTGTAGCTACCAATGGAATTTCAAAAAACAGACAGCCTTTAAAAAGCTCATCTGCAAGGCAAAATAACCACTCTGCAGTTATCTGACTCGTGCTTTTCACCAGCGTGACTTATGTCAGAGTGACTAATGAAGCAATCATCCAGGAACAGCTCACACAATATTTTCACACTCTAATACAGTATGTGAATTAAAAAAAAAAAAAAAAAAGGACAACAAAAAAAACCTGCCAGAGCAAATTATTCAGAACTTTCAAAATAATTTCCTATTTAGCTGCTCAGTTTGAAAAGATAACATTTGGGAGGGGGTTTAACCATTGTTTTCACTGTCATTAGAGTTAATGCTGAACACTTCTCAAACCTTATCCTAGTTCTGTGAACACACTATGAGAGAAAAGAATGGTGCCTTGATTCTGCTGTTACATCTCCCTCCTATCTTGTGCATGCCACTACAGTAAATATTTGGATAATGGAAGAGCCAAGTACTGTGTACTTGATTTCTAGGGTAGATCCTTCTCTTGGGGTGTATGAGCGGTAGGCACCACTACACGTGGCCTATTAAGCCTACAGTGTGCACCATGAGCATCAAATGTACACATACTACAGCATTTGGGTAACAGCAATATGGTCTACAGGTATCTTGGATTAGGTCAACTAAACAGTAGGAGGAAACAAATCAACTTTGAGTGCATAATCTTTTTCTAATCTTTCAAAGATACATAAAATATTACTTTTTGTTTTAAAATTTGTCTCAAGTCTAATGCACCCGTAGCAGATTCTGAATAACTCCTGTCTTTATTAATCCACTTATCATCACCACTAGCATAAAATGTATTTATAGAGAAGATACATTTTGCCATTCTTACACTAAATTCTGTACTGTCCATCTATGATTGTAGGCAAAGGTTTTCACATTACCCTCACTGATTATATTCCGTTAGGCTAAGAAACTTTTTCTTCCACTCAGGGCAAATCTTTAAGCTCTTCTCCTGTTAATATCTATGAGACTGGGAAATGCTGAGTCTCCTGCAGCTCACTCTGTATCTTTATGGTTTGTATTAGGCCTATCTGAGTGGATAACGAGGGAGGGATAGAGGAAATAGTTGACTGTATGCAAGGGGAAGCCATCTCAAGTCAATACACAGCCATTTTTTCACCAAACTTAGTTCTTTCACAGTGTTACTTTCCAACTAAAATGATACCTTATTTGAAGATAAATAATACATGTAAGTTATAGAAAATCGAATTTCCAATTAAAATGTTAGTTTAGTAAATAAAACATCTTCACTGTCATTTTAATGAGCAGCTGGGTAGGAGACTGGCTGCTGACTGGGGCCAGGTCACTACATACAATAGGGAATCTGAGACTAAACATGCAAGAAACAGTTGTTTTAATAGGAGGAAAGACACTGGGGGGTAGGTGATTAAAGTGAAAGTTACCATGCCTCAGTCTTACAGTCCGATCCCAGTCTCACTCTAGTTTTGCACTGGAGTAAATGAAGTTACCCCATACTAACATCAAAGCAATCTGAGAAGATTATCTGGTCCCCAGTTCTCAACGTGAAGCAAATGAAGTCCTGTTACCTAAGCTATGCTGTGGGACTTATGCACTCTATCCCACTCGACTTGAGCAACAATATCCCCAATGAACATATATAATTATTTGCTTGGATCGTGTTCAAATACGTAACTGTGCCATGGAAGGTACAATGATTTCTGTACAAACAGTAATTATTTCTAAGCAACAAGTGCAGGCATGATAATAATCTTTGAAATTGCTAGATTGGGTGCATTCTAAATAGTGACTTGGAAATGGGACTGATTAAGTTCAAAAATTGACTGCAGAGAAAGCACTTAATCGCTGCATGATCAGGTGTTATTTCCTCTACCGTAACAAAAGCCACAGTACTTATAGACCCTCTGTGTCCCATCTTATTCTGGTTTCTAATCTAACTGTTCTTTTAGCTGCAACCAAGACAGACCACTTCTCCTTACAATACTCATTCTCTTCTTCTTCTATACAATCCACCTTTGAGCCTGACAATGTTTGTATGCCTGAGAGTCTTCTGGTATAGAGGCTAGCAGTCTCTGGTTATATTTAACCACATGCTATTTTGGGTGGCATCTGATAGTACAGGAGTCATATGAGACTTGACCTGTGCAAAACTCAAAATCTGCAGTCATTCAGATTTACAGAGATTCTGAAAAGCAGAGATCTCTTTGTATGAGATACAGCAAGAGATGGCAACAGATGGTAGCTCAGCTTCTCAGGTCCTATCATTTTTTTCTGGAAGATATCAGGCTGATCATGTCCAGGGATAAAAGTGCTTTTATAACCCTATGAGCTTTTTCTGCATTTTCCACTGCAAGTGTAAGCTATGCATCCAAGGTCTCTGCCTAGTACACTCTCATTTATAACAGGCAGCTTTAAACTTCCAGTTACTGCACATTCCTTCCTTCACTGTTTAATGTAGAAGGATCAAGTGCTTTAATTAATTCAGCAGCAAAGTTCTGGATAGTGTCTACAGTTCTCTGGTAGATGTAATACAGCGTGCTCCCAACTCAGCCAGCACCGCAAAGGGCTTGAAGCTGGCAGAGTTAGGTTAGTATAAATCAGGATTCTCACATCTCTACAGATCACAGCATCATTTGCCCCTTGGTTGAAAAGAATACTAGATACAACCCTGCGTGTTAACTACTGGTCAATACTACATAGCACAACTTCTTACTACTGAAACCTGGGTTCAGTCATAGGTCTCTTAAAGGGCTATAAATAGCTGTGTGTGTTCTTATAGATGCACTCCAAGGCAAGTGACAGCCAGTGGTACATCTTGTGCTAATGCAGCTCCTTTGTGGTGAAAATGTGAAAATTACTTTAAGTAAATACAAGGAAATAGTTATTAAAAAGTGAAATAAATGTGGTCTCCAATATGATGTATGAAGTGAATACACTTGCTAAGATGGATGTTGCTTCTTTTAGGGATGTTGGCTTCTCTTGATTTCAGAATTTACTTGGACATGACAGCTGAAATAATCTGCATGTGAGAAAAAAAAGCAGAAAACTCAGAAAAAGGGTTGCTCCAGCAGAACACAGAGGAAGAAGGTCCAGTGTTGTGCCTCTCTATATCTTATTTTTGAAACTTTTGATTTCTCAAAATTTGGTCAGTTTTGCTAGACGTTGTTTATCCTCTGTCATCTATTTACATCCTCACCACAAGAGAAACAGGCTATATTTCTGGAGCTGAAACACTTCACAGAAATTCAAGCACAACCAAATCCAGGATAGCTGCAACCCATTCAGAAGACTATAAAAGAAAGAACTGGAGAGGAGGCCTTGGCAGTAGAAGTATGAGAAAAACAGGAGGCCACCCAAGGACATTCAAGGGTAATTTGAGACACTCTTAGAGATTACCTAGAGGATATAATTCCAGAAAGACATATGCATCTCACTAATCCTGTATCCTATTTGACAACTCTGTGTTAAAACATGTGCACAACTGAATTTAACCTCAGAACTTCCTGAAGGATGATAAGGACAACGAGAGAGAAAGAGCAGAAAATCAGTTATTGGAACAGGAAGATAGAAGCACATTTATCAACTTTGCAATGTACAGTTGTTACCTGAAGTGCAGGAACTACCTAATGTCATTTCAGTACAGTAAACTCAAACTGCTACCTACCCTTCATGCACGTATGCAGACTATACAGAAGATATGCCCTTGCCTGCTACATAACTCAAAAACACTTGCATTGCCTTTAAGCAGTCTAAAATCTATGTATGTATGTAAGTGGGTGGGATGTATTTCTCCAGTCCCAGATTCTACAAGAGACTTGCACTCAGCAATATCACTGGCATCTACTCTGCTATTAGCACTGCTGTTTGGGGAACAGAGTCCTTATTTTTAGAAAATGATAAAGTATCTCTATGTAGCCCATTGTTTCTTTATTTTAATTAAACTTTCACGTGTAACTAGGTCTTGGAGTCTGAGTAGAGCTTCTACTAAGCAATATCAGTATTTCTAAACAACTTCAGATTATATATAGGGTCTATAAATGCTTCAAGTTCTTAGAACTGCATCAAGTACATGTATTACCATTTTTTTGGGAAGCGATTAGCTTTTACTTAGAAGCCTGTCATATTTCCCAGCCTACAGAAAGCATGAAGATATGTTACATGACTCTGAAGTCCTCCAAAACATGTAACTGGTGTTTAAAGACAAACTAGATTATAAACAATACATTCCCATAACATCAGCTAATTTTAATTGCAATCAGCATTCTCCATGCAAGAAATATGTCATAAAGAAGCATACTTAAGAAATGAGGATCAGTTTGCAAATGGTAGGTGAGCCTCTTAAATTAAAAATAATTCTGCACACAAATGAGAAATAAAATGCATACGCTGCATACCAGGAATCAAACCTGGCCATGAACTGGGGGTATCTGACATTTCCATCTTCATCAAGGGGGATTCTGTCAAGTAGCAGCTCAAACTCTTCATCAGTAATCTCCACGCCAAACCTGAAACAAACAGCAGTTAGCAGCACTAGCTGGCGGAGTTCACATTTGGGTCAACAGTACCCACAATACCCTGAGCATATGGCTGCCATTAACTCTTTGTTACTGCTTCGGTCCTCAAGATCAAGAGCACCACGTGAATATCAGAGGTTAATCAGGGTTTTGATCGCCTCAGCTTTCTCAAGAAAGAAATTCTACCCGAGAGTCCCGGCATTGGTGAGGCACAGAAATAGAAATACTAGCATATTGAACTGTGTGCAATTGTCCTCTATAAAAAAGTTATTCATTACACTAAAACACTGGTATTGCTTAAACTAGTTAACTCTGAAAGGCTTTTCATTTGGACTGTTTAGCATGAAAGAAAATGGAGAGAAAAACTGTCTTTTCGGGAAACAGCTTCTTAGTGCTTTTGGAAAGCATTTCATAATGGCTTTAAAGACATTTTGCATACAAATATTTAAAAGTGTCAGTGTTTATTCATCAGCAAGAAAGTGTTTTCACCTCTCCAAAACAATCAAAACATAATCCTTGAAATACTGGCATAAACAGGAATGACTTAAGCAATAATACAGAGCCAAGGCATTCATCATTTTGCAAAGCCGATAAAAGTCAGCTGACTTATGGGGAGATACATTTTGGTTTTGGCAAGGCATTGAAAGGGTACACAAAACATAGTATTTGTTTGTTGTTTCGATTTCACCACCTTGCTTTCCCACTTTGCGTAACTCAAGAAATCCTTACGTTACAGTGCCACGGCAGCTTCTTATGGGGCTTTCTGACTCCTGGGTTTGGAGCACAGCAAATGGCTCATTTATCCTGCTGTAGGCTGTAGAAAGTCTGCTGAGGAGGGCAGATTGAGCTGCTGTTGCAGCTGCCCTCAGCTGACAGTACTCATTTTACTGCCTTTCAACTTTGCTTATCTACATTCACTTTTCATTTACACACGTGCGTTTACGGAAGCTTGTGTTCTGCCAATAAAAACACACATGACCGAAGTAAACTTGCAGCATTTTTTTCCCTAACAAGAGTAGAAAATCCGATTTTGCTGGGGAGTTTCAGTAAGAACGGATTCTCAGGAATCCATAACTGTTCTGGGGTTAAAGAACATTGCACATGGGCACTGAAGATTAGCAATTTGCACGTGTAATCAATGGACAAAATCTCCTGTTTGTTGCTATCTCCTAATCTGTCTCTCTATCATTTGCTTCAAGGGATGACATGCCAGAAAGGATTAAGGGGTGTATATTAGGCATAAGCAGTTGAGAAGCTATGCTGAGAACCAATATGTAAACTGGCCACCTTGCAGGTCTGCAACTAAAATGGACAGATTGACCACTGTCCGCTACTTTATCACTTCTCTGTGTAAAGTCATATTCACAAAGAAATGTAGGCAGGTTCCACATAATATAACACATGAGATCCAAGGAAGAAAAAGAATAGCACTTTGTACAAAATTTGTGGTTTTGTCAGAGCAAGAATGTGTCTGGGGGAAGAAAGTGGATTTTTTATATTCCACATGAGTATCTTCAAATAGGCAAGATAGCAGCAAATTCACTACCTGTTCAAAAAGAAAAACTAAGCTTTTTGAATATTGTAACATTCTGGAATTAAAAACAGGAATTGCTGGGATCTGAAAAGCAATTAAAAAGATCTGAGAAATGGGTCTTATCCACTTCGTCCTTGTTTAGAGTAGAACTATCAAAGAAAGGTCCCACTTCCGGCAACTTCATCTGCCTTTTACAAGAGCTTTTGTAAATCCTAGAAACAGAAATTCACACAGAGATCACTCCAGTACCTTTAGCTGCAAATAAATAACCTCTCAACAACTAGTTAGGACAACCTCTTTCTGGATTCTGGCTTGTAATGTTTTCTTGTCATTTCTTCTGGAAAACCAAATGAAAACAAACAAACAAACTTGGTAGGAAAACGAGTAGCGATTTTCTTGGTCCTGAACTCAGTTTTGTCATGACCTATTACTGAGAATATTTCTGGGTTCAGTAGAACTCCAGACAACTGCTCATTTAATTTCACTTAGAGAGGCTGATAGCCTGAGCTAGATAAGCATTTCAATAATGTGGAATGAACCACACCACTGTTCCTATTGCAGTGAGAGCTTCTAATCATTTATTTCATAAGAATGTCTCAACATGTTCTCCATATCAAGATATACATAGAGAGTACTGGAAAAAAGGCTTGGCTAATTTTAATGCTCAAGAAAGCTATTGAACTGTCAACTGCCAAGATGAACTCTTTTACGCACATGGAGCCACTGCATAAACACCTGTTGTACTACCGACAGTGTACAAATATATTTTATGAGAAAAATACCAATCTAATTTAATGAACTAAATAATAATGTCATTTCTACCAAGAGGATGGGCCTGAATCATGCTCTCTTGAATGCTTTGCTGCTTATCTTTGGTATTACTTAACAACCTTCAAACTGTTCTGATTGCAGCATTGCTGGTCACACCAACTCCTTGAACCTAGCTGGGGAAAAACAGCTAGTCTGGAAAGAACTCCATGATCTCTCCGTGATGCCAGTCTTTCTTAGGAGATGTCAAAGCCATGTCAACGTTGAAGGACTCCAAGTTCCTCAGACACATCCAGGGAGCTGATCCTGAAACACTGGTCTTTTAGTATGCCTGTGTACAACTGATTTGTGGGGTGGTGAATCCCACTGGAACAGAGTGGGAATCAATACAGGGTTCCAGAGGATGCCTCATTCCCACTTTCTGTATCCACAAAGTCAGAAAATATGCTGGCTGATCTAAAGGAGTAAAACTGGGGGAAGGGAGGAACAACCCTGCACCAACTTTGCATACTGACATTTTCTCCATTATTAAAATTCCAAAGACCTATTTTACATTACTGATCTCAGGATTTCTGGTAGCATGCTGTGACAACATTACATCCAACGTGCTCACTGATGTGGAAACAGAAAAAGCATTGAATGAAGAGAGTGTATGGCCTATACCATTTGTTATCCCAAACACTGATATTATACTTTTCATTCTGAACTTCCCCTCAAGCTTTACAAACATATCCAAGATATACAAAAGCAATAAACAGGAGGATCAAGTGCTCCAGCATGCAAATGCAGCCACCTGAAACTAAGCAATGATTTAACCGAACAGCAACAGCACACAACAGACGAATCACTGAGCTCTCCAGAGCACATTTCAAAGGCAGGTGCAATGGGCAGGGCTTGAGAAAAAGATATCTATTAACTGAAGGGCTAAGCCTATTTAGACAGAAGCTGATGCAAAATGCAAGGGACTGGTTAACAGTGAGGTTGAGAGAAAATGCTTTGGCAAGAAGCCCAGAATCCTGGCAAAGGGAGCACCTGCGAAAAAAGCCACATGTGGTTTGTTGTACCAATATACATTTGCACATACAGACTGGGAAACTCTTATTTCCATTTTATCATATGTTTAACATCTGTAGTATCCTCAAATAAAGACGTCTCACACCTTAAATCAAAGGAACAGAAAGGTAGATAAGGCACACTGAGAAAATCAACCAGTGTTTCAGCGAGCTGTCAAAGTATCTTTTAATCATCTATAAAAACACCACTCCTGGGAACCAAGATAAGAGCGAGTTTTTGAGAGTCACAAGGGGAAGACAGAAGACACACACACAGCACAACCTCAGTAAGCAGGCAATTGGGAAGAAGCATAGAAAGCAGAGAGGAAGAGCTTGCTTAGCATCAAGACTAGCACACTGCAGAAGAGATGCCAAGACAAATAAGATGGTAGACCAAGTCAGAGGGATAGGCAAGCCTAAAACTGTGCTGGACATTTGAAGTAAGAGATATTTATAATGATCCAGATGTACAGAGAAATAAGAGGGAGGGATTTTCCAACAGGTTATGATATAGCTAGAAAAATAAGGCAATTATTCCAGCAGTGTGACCTCAGATCTGTTCAGGGAACAAAACAAGGCAAGGTATATGCAATTCCTGAGAAACAACAGGCTGTTGTGAGGTGCACAGCCATTATATCTGAGTGGGAGCCAGCAATGTTGATGGATTTGAGTGTGCTGGTTGACGAAACACTCAACACAAACCGGCAGTGTGCACTTGCAGCCCAGAAGGACTTGTAGTCCTGGGCTGCATCAAAAAAAAAAGCAGCCAGCAGGAAGAGGGAAGAGATTGTCCCTCACTATTCTGCCCTCATGAGGCCCCATCTGAAGTACTGCATCCAGGTCTGGGGCCCCCAATACAGGAAGGATGTGGAGCTGCTGGAGTAGGTTCAGAGGAGGGCCACTAAGGTGCTCAGAGTGCTGGAGCCCCTCTCCTACAAAGACACGCTGAGGGAGCTAGACTTGCTCTTTGATTCTATGATTTTTAAAAGATACAAACCTCAGTGTGCTCATTTCCATTTGCCAATGTGTAATGTTCCACATGAAAATAGAGGAGGGTTACACCTAATTTGTCCATACACACTTCTATATTTTGCACCAGTAAACACACATAACTTTTTACCTTCATATTCTTTTCATCTTCATATTCTGAAGACTATAACAACTCCAGCTGAACAACATGAACACCCTGCTTCTCAGTACCACTATGCAAGTTTCATTCAATTGAACTTATTAGGGTTACCGTAAACTGAGACTGATGTGAAAGAGTGAAAATTAGACACCTTAACTCTTATAAATGCTATCTGAATCTGACACCTGCATCAAACTGCTCGTCCAAACTATTTTAAGCCAGATTCCAAGGTCAGCACTTGAGCTAGTCTTCTCTTTGCAATTTACTTCAAGGACTGGCTGAGTAGCTGAGAATTTGGCACAGCAAGTGTGGCACGTGTATGAGAGGCAGAGATTTCTTTAACAAATTCACCAACATTGGCTTATAATTTAATTGCAGTTAATGCACAGCTTTTCCTTATTATCTTATTAAGCTGAGCTTTGAGGAATTCAAATAAAATATCCATTGTACTGCAGAAAAAGATAAAACTGCACGCCAGTGCTGCCAAAGGGTCATGATACAATTACAG